CCCCGGGTATGACCAAACGGCAGTCGCTGTCGACCTTCAGCTCGGAGAATTTCTCGGACGGGGATGGGGACGGGGATGGGGATGAGGGGCACACGAGCGAACCCTCCCACAGCGCCACCCCCGACGTGGGCAGCACCAACACGGACGAACGCCCCGACGATCGCTCCGAGGATTTACTTTCGCAGGGCTCCGAGATCCCCCTGGATGCCGCCCCCCCCGAGGGTCGTCGGCACGGGGGAGGCAGCCCCAAGGTGATGTGACTCCCCCACCTCCTACCCCAGCCGTGGGTTTGACCCAAATGGGTGTGGGAGGGGAGGGGGTCCTTTGGGAATGGGTGATGTGGGGGGCTTCTCCATATCCCCCCTCCCCCCCCAGGGGTGGTTATGGGGTGGATGTGGGGAGGGGTCACCACTGAAGTGGGTGGATATGAGGAGGGGTCACCATAAATGAGTTGAACAGCGAGAGGGGCCCCGAAGATGTGTGGAAATAGGGAGGGGTTCCTAAAAGGATGGGGAAATATGGGGAGGGGTCTCTGAACCAATGGGTGGTTATGGGGAGGGGTCCCCGCAGAGATGTGATCCCCCAGAATGAGGTGTTAAAGGGGAGGGGTCTTCATACCACGGGTGGAGACACAGTTTACCTCTCTGGGTAAAGCATCATTTCGAGGGGGGGCTGCCCCCTCCCCAAGGTAAAATCCCACAGGATGAGGGACCCCAAAAGCAACTCAGAGAGGGGGGTGGGTTCCCCCAAAGCCCCCATTTACAGCTGTGGGGTGGAGGAGGGCTCTGAGGGACCCCCATCCTTCCCCCCCAGGTCTCGGAGGACTCTGACTGCGACAGCGCAGAACTGGACCATTCGGGCAGCGCAGAGGGACCCCCCCGGCCTACAGCCCCCCCCGGCCTGTGACTTGCACCCCCCCGACCCCCCCCTGCACACACACACACACCTCCCTTCCCCCCCCACACACCACCACCACTTGTACAGCCCCAAATATTTATATAAATATTTATCGATCTCTACAGAACTCTGTGCTGTCTCTGTCCCTGGGGG